CAAGCGTTTTCATGATGAGTGGATGCGATATTCGTGTTCTACGGGTCAAATTACCCCTCTAGGCAAGTTTCTAGCCGGTTTCATCTTCTTTGAAAAAATTCGATAGAAATCCAGCCCTTTCTCGACAGAGTGGGGCAGTAAAGGGTAAATAGTGCCGATTTTTTTTTGCTAAATAACCTCGCACCAGAAATTCTAAAAGCCCAAGTGATTGTTCAGTTAACCTATTGACTTCTCAAGTCGCTGAATTACGTACTGAAATCGAGCATCTCTCGGCCGAGTTAGAAGCGACAGGCTACGAAGGACTGCTCCATGAAACTCGACGCTCTCTCATGTAAGTTTTCGATTATTTTCAAAGAACACCTCCAATTAGTGGTTTTCAGGATATCAATGAAGGATGAGTACACAAAGATGAAAAATGAGCTGTTACGTCTCAGACTTGCTAATCATGCGTTACGCATTCGCACCCGAAATGCCCTCGAAACATTCAAGCTGACGAAGCCCTAGAAAGCTACCAAATCAATTTTGTCTATTCAACAGGGCAAACTACTTTGAATAGTTTTTTAACATTGTTTCAGAAATATGCGACTGAGCATTTCAGTTCGTTGACATTCCGCTGTTTTCTTGTGAATTTGTTATTCCTGTAAATGTGTTTTCTTGATACTGTGTGACGAAAGGCAACTTAGCATCAATTCTTCATACACCACAAAATCATCATAACAATAACAAAGTAACGGAGAAGCTTAAAATGAGTATCAATGAAAACCGTGTAAGCTACACAAAAAAGTATACATCTTACAACAAAAATTTGCTCGAGTTCTGTTTCAGGTACTGCTCACTTCTCTTGGTGTCGTAGAACATTTTGTACGCCTCGCCGACGTCTTCTTTTGTCACCTACAATTACTGTCGAATCAAAATCTCTACAGTAAACCAACCTTTCCCAGTTATAAGCTATCTTTCACAACGAACACTCACCATTGGCTTTTTCTTGCGCTCCCTAAGGCAATCCGCTAAAGCGATTATCTGCATGGCGTACCGCATCGATGTCTCGGCCACTAGCATTTTCAGCAGAGTGAGTGCACTAGCCTCCATCCTGAATACCACAGTAAGAGGACCGTACAATTGCTTCTGGAGTTTTGCAACCACCGACCTCACGTTTTCCTCATCAGCTCTCAAACTCAGGATGCGTCCAATTTCATCGGGAGTGTACGGCTTTGTTGGAATTCCAATGAGGCGATCAACAATATCAGGTGGAAGGCAATAGTTGGCAATCACGTCGGTTCCACGAACCTTGCCCCGTTCCCTGAAGAAATGTATG